ATGTAGTTCGTGTTCGAATGGTTCTAACTCCACAAAGCCTTCACCAATCTAAACAATAATTTTTTTCATTCTTCTTCAAGAAAAGGACTATCATATAACGCAATCCCTGAGTCGCTACTGCTTCTAGATTGCTCTAAACAGCTTGCATAAGTCAAGTAGCCAAACCGTGTCGGGTCAATTATATCTTGAGCAAGACACGGTTAGTTCCTATCTAAATCGCTGTATCGTCGTAAGGAATAAATGTAACGCTATAATAATTTTTTTCATTCTTCACTGATCATTTGCACATCACCTAAAGCATTCGGCTTGTCTGTAGTGCTTTTAGTTTTCTCTGGAGGCCTCGCATAAGTTATGTCACCGAACAGCGACATATTGATGGAGACTGCAAACACGCGTGCCGCTTAGCGATTTAAAACGCTTGTTCCCCGCCACAAGTTACTTTATCGTCATAATATTTTTCTTCATTCTTTACCCATAATATTCGCATCACATGAGATTATTTTTAAGCTTATACCGATTTAAACTTTAACTGAACAGCTTGCACAAGACGAGTCGTCGAACAGCCACATATTGACACTTACCGCAGGTCAGTCGACAAGTCAGCATACTAAAAACGCTCTATCTCAGCCAAAAATTAACATATCCTTTAAATATTATTTTTCATTCTTCCCTGATAAATTACACATTATTTAAAAAAATCAGCTTGTCTTTAGCGCTTTTAGTTTTCTCTCGAGGCCTCGCATAAGTTATGTCATCGCACAGCGACATATTGATGGAGACTGCAAACACGAGTGCCGCTTAGCGATTCAAAACGCTCATTCTCCGCCACAAGTTACTTTATCGTCATAATATTTTTCTTCATTCTTTACCCATAATATTCGCATCATATGAAATCATTTTTAAGCTTATACCGATTTAAACTTTGACTGAACAGCTTGCACAAGACGAGTCGTCGAACCGCCACATATTGACACTTACCGCAGGTCAGTCGACAAGTCAGCATACTAAAAACGCTCTATCTCAGCCAAAAATTAACATATCCTTTAAATATTATTTTTCGTTCTTCACTGATAAATTACACATTATTTTAAAAAATCAGCTTGTCTTTAGCGCTTTTAGTTTTCTCTGGAGGCCTCGCACAAGTTAGGTTATGCTAACAGCTACCAACCCCCCAACCCCCCAACCCCCCCCCCCGTAAGCGGGATTTCCCCTTTGTTTACTACAGCTCGAACTATGTAATTGATTGCAAATTAAGAATTGGTATAATATTTTATAGTTGGGTTCCAATGGGTGTTTGTATATTCTGAGTAATGAGTAATGGATTTACGTATACTTACATCAGAAAAATAAACCATGAAAACATTGACAGTGGTTCTATACTCACTCTCTGCCGTGAATAATTATAATGCTGTGACAGTGTCAGGAGTGTAAACTTAAGCCTGCCGCACACGAGCGCACTTGTCGCGCGTACTTGTTATTCGTGACAAGTTGGATCGACAGAATTTCCTCGTGTGCGGGCAACATTTACGGCATTTTCATCATTCGTGACATGTAAACCCAGCCTAGTCCCAGTCGTCCTGAAGCAAGCGCCAGAAAAAAGTGAATGTAGTACGAGACTGGGACCTAGGTGTGACGTCACCGCTCAAGGTGCTTCAGAACGCCTAGCAGATTTCAGTATTTTTAATATGGCGGAAAATTTATATATACAAGTAACCTTTTAATTATAAATACGACAATGTTCGTTCATCATGTACATGTTCGATGTCTACATAACCAAATCAAACTGTATTAAAATGTGCTCAACTAAAAAAATTTATATACAAATTTACGATACTGAGTTTGAGCAATCGTTGATGTTATTTATATACTCGCAAGTTGTGATCAACACTAGACCATACTGGTATACACAACTACGCTTTCTACTTGACAGGTTTAAATTGCTGAGGAGATTGGAAATATTTGCCTGACATGACGGTGTTGTCAAAACATTCTTGGTCGGAGACTCGGCATAATTTTCAAGCTTCTAGATAGCATTTAATATGGCTATATATTTTAGTAAACACGAGTCATATTTAGCCCGTTACTCCATTCTGACCGTATGGCAGCGAAACGTAGCCTACTTCATTGTTCCGACAGCATTAGAGCAAAACTAATGACTTAATTATAAATGCAAAGGAAATTTCCATAACATTTCCATTTACAAATGAGGTATGCTTGGTAACCAGGCCAGGGACCACTTTTTTGAAATCAGGGACCATTTTACCGAAATCTGCTAGGCTCTCTCGCTGAAGCGTTCCGCACAGCACACCCAGGCATAAAACTTTTAAGACTTATTTAAATATGTCAAAGCAGCGAATAGAGAGAGAGCCTGGGACTAGGCTGCTTAATATATATACTTTATAATTATACGTCACTGTTTGTTGATAAATACGGCAAGCGCCATGTAAAGCTCATTGTAGTCACTGAAACCTCTGCGGAGGAGAGAGCAACCGGGTGGCGATTTAATATAAGCTACATTTGCAATATATTTCGCTAATTTGTGATTATTTTTGTTAATTTTATAAGTTCATTGCAGTTTTAATTTAAATTCAGCCGTTTAGTGGGCGCCTATGCTATAATTAGAGTGTTGTTGTCGTTGTGTGAAATTTAAATTTCTCCTGCGACATTTTGATTGGATACTAAATATAAACTTTGCTGTGGGCGGAAAGCGATCAGGTTAAGTTTTGTGTCAGGCTCTATTTGTAAAATAGAGTCTGATACTCAGGTTATGATGTCACCAGTTTTAAAATATATTAAGCAATTATTAAACTTGTGGTATTTAACAATGATTTAAGAAAGCAATCAACCACTAGTCATGTATTCACCAAAGCAGTAAATTAAGATCTGGCGTTTGAAGTTTACGTTTGGCGTATAAAATATTATGCTTTTATAACGACTACAAGCCCTCGTAACAGTCCAAGCATAAAATTTATACGCCAAACGTAAACTTCAAACGCCGATCATAATTTACTGCTTTGGTGAATACATGACTAGTGGTTAATTTGTTTTCTTGAATCATTGTTAAATACCACCCTCTGACCCATGATAGCTAAGCCTAAGACCTAGAATGGCTAGATTTAAATAACGAGTTTCCTCCGAACTAAACAACAAGTAAATATTACATACCCTGTTTCGTTCAGCCTAAGCCAAGGTTTTATTGCATGTAAAATTTCCTGGGAGGATATCTTTCATCGTTCTTTAGAGTTTAGTCTTGAATGAACTTCGACTTCGTGTACGTAACTATATAGCCAAAAATTCAGCGGGAATTAATTTTGATAATATTTGTGCACAGATGTCGTGTTTTTGAAGCCATCCAATGTCTTTTATTTGAATATATTTCAACCATTTTGTCGACTATCGAGTCGCTTTCGCCGTTTGAGGATGGTAATGGTATATATCTTCTATCAATCCGCCATGGCCTCTTTACTTCATTCATTCTCGATGGCCGAGAAAACAGTGTTTTACTTTTAGGGCTGCGTTTTGCGAAGCAAATCGAACTCAGTTTCTTGCTAATATTAATAATAATATGTTTGTGGTTAGAAAAGCATGCACTGAAAATTCGCTCATAATTATTTTCTCATTAAGACATTATGTTAAACATGACTGCCTTCTTTTGTTCTGAGATCAACTGAACCATAGAACTGAACGCTACTTTAATGTCAGCAACGGTTAATTAAAGCATAAAATATAAATAAATTTAAGGTGGCTCAGTACGGTTTTTAGCTAGAAAGATGAAAAATTCACGATTCATGCAGATCCGGTCTCTTGGACAATTATAAGGTTGAAAAACAAAAAGTATCTTACTAAATACTGATATAAAACAACACCAGAGCCTGGTCTCAGGTTAAACAACACCTAAAGAGTTTCATTTATATGGACGAGTTACGTTGGTTGCTATGCTGACAACAATACGTTTCAAGACGGCGGATATTTTGGCTTTAAGTACTATTTAAAGCACGCGTAGGAGTGTTTTATCACATATATAAAACACGATGCGTAGCGGAGTGTTTAAATGTGATAAAACACGACTACAAGTGCTTTAAATAGCTTCAAAAACGACTAATCTTATACGAGTTCATTGGCGAAGTAATTTTTAAAATAAACTTTGTCTAAACCGAGAAAATCAAAGCTAAAGTTTATGTAAATTAACGTGATTTTTTATCACATATAAAACCACGAGGTTTGTTTCAAAACAAACTTCTTTACAAACTTTACTTATGATTTATTTCTATCACTCTCGCTGGATCTCTTTGGATCAGGCCATCCAAACACGGAAACCATAAAGTAATTGTTTTATAAAATAACAACTTTCCGTGTTAAAATTTCACTTTAAAAAATTTTCACTTTAAATTTCTGTGTTTGGATGGCCTGATCCAAACACGGGTTTCGACCAATCAGAGCACGCGTTATACACGTTTTTTTTTGTAAATTGCGTTATTCTTCAAATCGATGTCAAAGTACGAAATTTCGGCACTCCTTGCCAGTTTCGTGTTATATGAATATTTGAAACAAACTGAAATTGGAACGAATATCCCACTCCCCTCACCGACAGGTTTTGTTACGAACAGCCTGTGTATTGGTCTTGTTGAAACAACTTGTATAGTCTGTTACCGTCATCAAACTTGTAACAAAGTCCAGGCGATAACAACTTGTTCCAGACTTACCACAACAACTGGAAAAAGTCAAACAACTGGGCATACCATCATTTTTTCAGGGAAAATAAAACTGAGATCAGTTGTCTGAGAACCGCGTATTTATTATAAGAACTTATTTCTTCAACGACAATTGTCAAAAATACGTTAACGCAAGTTCCAGCACAGTTTCAGCGCGTTTACCTTAATCTCTAAACTATTTGCTTACTCATGCATGTAACGATATTTAACAATACAAATTTGCTATGGTATAATATATATGTAAATTTACATCATTGCCGTATCATGTAACAATGTCACAGTCAATTTTCATCCGAAAACCATTAACCAATGTTTCCAATATATGTCTGTGCATCCACTTGGCCTAAATCTGTTAAATCCATAATAACAGTCGCATTCGATGTGATCAGTAAATCTTCGCAAAGCTCGGTGGCCATTTGGATTGCGAGAATAGAATCCATCGTGAATTTTCATGGCTAGGTACAACTGATTTGGTGAACACTCGGACTCCGCCTTTCCTCGGGCGTTTAACACAAGAGCCTTTGAACGTATCAGATTATTTTCTTTTAATCCAGCTCGGCAGCTTCTGGCGTCGCGGAGAACAGAATCCATCAGGGTCTCTTTTTCAGGGTTTTCATGATTCTCATCTTTCAACGACTTGTCTTGACTCGCGATGACCACGTTCTTGTTTTCGAAATCAAAAAATGTATGACCGCCACAAACAGATACAAAATGATTGTCGTCACCTTCCAAGTTGTCGTAGACTGCTACAAAGAAATACCGCCAGTCATATTTTTCGTTGACAAAATTATACACCTTTAGCATCAAATCGTTATTCCCTATATCTGTCGAACGCCGGATGATGTCTTCTGCATCGGTTCTCAGTTGGGTAAGATATGTAGTCTTAATCTCGTCGCTTACTTCTTGTAATCTGTTCTTCAGAGCCACCATTTTAATGTCCCACTCGTCGACTAAGTGTTGGCTTGAATGGTTTTTCAGGCCATAGTAGGAAATTTTTGCCTTGATTCCTTGAACGAGAAGACGCACAAGACCCAAAGAGAATTGTTCGAAGTTTCTTTTGTGTCTTTTTGTTTGCGTCAGGACGGCATCTAAGATATTCGTCGAAAAGACGTGATCCTCGTTCATGATTGCGTCGTAGAGCTTTTGAAGGCTGTTGCTGAAGTCGTTGTCAAATTGGGTGATAAAATATTGTCTTTCGTTCTCACGGACGCTGCCTTCATGCTCGTAGACTCTGCCGAGGTTGGTGTTGGCTGCTTCGATCTTTCGTTCGTAGGTTCCATAGCTAACGACGACGGCATTCCAGTCGATGGCATTCTTAACCTCTTCGAATTCCGAAGTGATAATATCCAATTTGGTATTAACTTTACCAAATTCTTCCCTCATGAATATTAATTCTGCAGAATCTTCTGTTGGGATGAAGGAAAAAGCGAGGCTCGCCAAGGGCCCTAGGGCACCAAGGAAGGGACCTAGACTTTTTGCGATACTTTGAAGCGACTTACCGAAGTCTCCTTCTTTGAGAAATTCTGCAACGGCATTGCCCGCTTTGAGTCCTTTGACGATGGCGTCTTGATTGTCGACTAGAACGTTCCTTGGTTCACCAGTAGACGGCAACGATTTGGTGGGATTGTACATTGTAAGGATCACCACAGCAATTATGAGAATGTTGCAGTATTTCATTGTTGATCTCTCCTGCAATAGAAGAAAAAAATTAATAACAAAAGCCTTGGATGAACTGTTAGCATCCTGCATTAAATAAACAACTAATAAAAGTAGGCTACATTAGGAATTCTTACGGTGACTTGATAACTTGTATAGCTTTGATCCGCGTCTATTGTGAAATAACTGAAACTTCATCTGTGCGTTACCTGATATATAGACGCTGATAATGAATAATGCCACTGGTTAGAAGAAATGAGATCACCCGAGGCCTGCGCTGTTTGAGGCAATTAACTTTTTTGGTGTCTTAAATCAAAAGTTTCATTCCTCTTAAACAGACGTCTTAATCGTCTCAGACTATATTAATTCGTCTAATACAAATACGAGTAAACTTGATTTAATCGAGGGGCAATTCACTCCAAAAATCCCGTACACTTCGTCAAAAAATCCGGAAAAAATCCAGAAAAAATCCATGAAATCCTCAAAATCCATTGAATCCATCAAAATCCAAAAAATCCTTTAAAAACCACAGAAATCCTTCAAAAATCCACAGAAATCCTTCAAAATCCTTAAAAAATCCGCAAATCCACAAAAAATATATGAAGTACTTGGTGTAATTTACTCGTAAAGGTTCTTTGCCACGTTCAAAATGGCGGACAGCGAAAGCTAAATGCTTACCGTGATCGCTGTCATTATATTTCGTAATTATTGGACCACTCTACATTTCCATTTATACGCTCGAGTATACGCTAAGTTTTTTTAGCCTATTACTACTAAATATGTGTTCTTGTTACAATGACGTTATGTTGTAAAATATAATTACAAAACCAAAAGTTATTCACCATTGTCTTTTACTGCTTTTGAAAGAATAATGAACTTGTTTGAATTTTATACAAATTGACTGCATGCACAGCCTTCGTTAATAGTTTCAGAAGGCTGTGGTCCTAGTCCCAGTCCTCTGCTCGACCCTGACGTCCAGGCATAACGTTGACATCGTACAACTTAAGATTATTTGTTCAAAATGTTACCTAGCTCTATAACTCTATAATTAAAAAAAATCCAGAACAAATCCGGAAAATCCAAACAAATCCGGAAAATCCAACAGATTTTCAAAAATCCAGAAAAAATCCGAACAAATCCGGAAAATCCGAACAAATCCGGAAAATCCAGCAAATTTTCTCTTCAAAAATCCGCTAAAAAATCCGGGAAAATCCGGGAAAAATCCGCTAAATCCGCTAAAAAATCCGCGGATTTTTAAAAATCCGAAAATCCCGTACGCTTTTTTGGAGTGAAATGCCCCTCGGATTTAATGATTGAATAAATATTCCCTCATATATACACAATAAAAAACTATATTACCATAAATTACAAAGACAAAACTAGCTAATGAAGTGTCTTCCAGAACGTCCGAAAGTAAAGAGTTCCAGTCCGATATTATATATCGATTAAAAAACGAAAGCTTAAAATAATTTGTACGTGCATACTTAAGCCTTAACTTACTTGTATTTAAGATTGAATCTCGTACGAGATTCCTTTTCTATATCTAAATATTTGGATCTGTCACTGTCGCGGAAACCAAATAATATTTTATAGAATTACCTGATATAGACGCTACTTATGAATAAGTAATGCAGCTGGTTGAAAGACATGAGATCACACGAGGTGTTTGGAGCAATGAAATTTAACTTCTAAACAAAAACCAAGCGAGAATTCCATTCCTGTAAAATCGATCATCACTAACTATACTAACTTAACTATACTAACGTCTAATGGTGTTTGTGACATTTACGATGCTGTTATTGACGTCCATTAATGTCTGCAATGGTTTGATTAGCGTTAAGCCACAATGAATTAGCTCGCTATACGGGTTGTCAAAAATTTGACAAGCGTGCAAATAACTTTAAGCGGGTGTAAGCTTCAGGAGATTTTGGGGCATCGATGCAAATTTCGATTTTATACGTGAATTTAGATCCAACCAGAAAAAATGCAACTAGAAACTTTCTGACAGGAATCGAACTTGCGATTAGCACTCTATTCTCTAACCAACTGAGCTACAGAGGCCAGTTGTCGAGTTTTAACCAACTGAGCTACAGAGGCCAGTTGACGAACTCTAACCAACTGAGCTACAGAGGCCAGTTGTCGAGCTCTAACCAACTGAGCTACAGAGAGACAGTTGTCGAGCTCTAACCAACTGAGCTACAGAGGCCAGTTGTCGAGTTTTAACCGCAAGTTCCTGTATATATACAGGGTGTCTAAAAAAGTGAACCTTTAGAAATCACCATTTTGTTGTAAATATGCACCCCGGCAAACTTCATTACCCCTCGGCGTTTAGAATGCATTTGTGATCGTATACGAGCATATTGCACAAATTGCACATGAAAATTCTAATTGAAAGTTAAAACGACTTAGAAATGAATCCCGTCAGTTCAATTTGAAATGGTTCAACGGACTACAGAGCAAAGAGCATATATTCATATGTTGAACGATACCAAAAACTTTTAAATAACTTCCAACACGTAAAATTAAAATTCGATTCAATTGTATTTACGCACCCATGAGTTTGGCATAGGACTCACTCAGGCACTCGAATTATAACAATAAGGTGAATTTCTAAAGGTTTAGTTTTTTTAGACACCCTGTATACCAATTAAGGTCATGCCATATTAAGGGGCGCACATTAGGGGGGGTGTGGGGGGGTGTGACACCCCCCCATTGTTTGTGAAATATATCTAAAAAGTCGGTCCCGAAACCTGTATGGGACGAAAAAAAGTCGGTCCGGCTAAAATCTGAAAGACATTATTTTGTGTCGAAAAAAGAAATAGGTGGACATTTTGGAAATGGAATCTAACAAAATTAGGCGACTTTTTGTGGTTGTAACTTTTCTTCCAACCTCGTCCAAAAATACATGAAATAGCGTTCTAATGAATCTAGAAATTCAAAATTTTTCTCGCGCCTTCGGCGCTCGCACTCGAAATCCATAAAAAAATTTTGCCGCCGGAAAGTTTAGAGCAGAAGTTCTGAAAAACTAAACGTTTATTTAAACTCTTGGAATACTATCCCCGTCTATGAGTCCATCCGCAATTTTTGAGGAGTCTACGTTCTAATAAATCGAAGCGAGGTTGCCGAGGTATGTGGCAGTGTATAGCATTTATACACATTTAGATAGCCGATTACATCCGCATCGAGTGAACACGCAGCTTTTCGAGTTCGAAGCTTAAATTGGAGTGATTAAGACTGCCATTCGTTCAGTGATGAAAGAAAGAAGGCTAATAAGGGATCTAATCACTCCTTGGATGTGAAAAGGATCTCACGGATACAATATAATGGACCCAGACACTGTTGTTGATCGTTGGGCCAAGCTGCCAAAACAGAACGTCATTTTTCCGATTGTCATTTTTCGATCAAATAAACTGTGCAGGTGAACTATTTAAAAACTGATTTGACTGTCTGAAATCTATTGCTAATTGCTATAACTTTCTAAACAATTTGAGTTGTCAGGTATTTAATACCCTTAGTTGAATATCATGTGGGCACCCACTTTTTTACATAGTTAGCTACTCGACTTCGTGCAATAACCACAGGGCCGTCGCATGTCATGCAGACCTTTATCATTTAATCCGTGACAAACTGCAAAGAATGAAGGTATTACCATGGATAATAAAGTACATGTTATTTTACAATCCATGGTATTACCCACACTTTCCTGCAACTTATTCAACGTATAATAGTTAATTAAATACCCCTTCGGCCATTTAGTACTACTAAATTGTGAATTTCGACATACTAAAACGCTGTTTTCTGACTATCAGAATTCTGTTAAATCTTCCCCCAAAGTCCAGGAAATGGCATTGCAGAGACTCTAAATTTAAAAATTTCCGCTTTCAGCCCCCCCCCCAATCGAAAAGAGATTCCCACGGCCTGTACCATACGTCCAACTCTTAAATTTTATATTAATTGTATTTATAACAAGACTGTGACATTAATTAAACCGAACTTTTACCGGTTCACGAGTACTGTGCACACCTTAAAATAGTTGGCTTTTCTTATCAACACAAATACTACAAAAGTCGGTCCCGGAACATAGGACACCCCCCCAAATTTTTTTTTAATGTGCGCCCCTGCATATATTGGGTAGCTTTAAGTTGAAGGCTCTAAATTAACGCATTAAATTTATGCTCCATATTTCTATCTACAAAACCTTCAACTATGCGCGAGCTTCAGCTTTTGTTCGTTGAAAATGGCCTGCCTGATTATATAGTTTGTTAGCGTGAGGCCACAATGAATTACCTCAACGCGGGGTTCTCAAACATTTGATGGCAACCGTGCATGTAAAAGCAAGCTTTCGTTGGTAGCGATGTAGCTACCTGAAAAATATAAGGAGAATTTCGACGTTTCGAGCGAAGACCCTTCGTAACTCCAGATAAAGGGCCATCATATTATTGCCACTACCTTAGTTAATTATTATTCTGTGACCTTAGTCTACCTACACTGGCCGAGACAGTTCAAAAAAGGAATAGGAGGAATATGTATAAGCTTCAGCTTTTTGTCCATTGAAATTGGCATGCTTTATTATACAGTTTGTATATAAGTATATATACTTTCTTTACGGGAACCACTGTAAACGAGTCACCAACGTATTTTATTTCCAATTCAGCAATGTTTTGACGAGATGAAACAGCAGTTTGAAAAAATGATGTTAATGGTTCAGCAAGCATTTCCAGGGAGCGATGTAAACAACAATGGTGCCGAAGCTATAGCTCCAGCAGTTCCAGACAACAACCAAGATATTATTGTTCTTGGCGGTTGGTGTGGCCCAGGGAACGACAAAGTGTTAAACACAGCTGAAGAATTCAATTTAGTAGAAGGAAAGTCGACTGAGCTACCGCAATTGAGCATCCCAAGAGCGGCATCAGCATCGTGTGTTTACAACGGTGATGTGATCGTCGCCGGAGGTTTTGATGGTCAAGCTGGTACCGACTTGATCTAGATTTTAAAGATGAATCAGCATCCGTTGCGATGGACGATGTTTGATGGTAAACTGCCCGTCAAGTTATCGTATCATGTTGTAATTGTTCATCAAGATCATTTGTACGTTATCGGTGGATACAGTACGAGCGAAAAGAAAACATCCGATGCAATTTATGAACTGACCCTTTCTCCACCTTATACTGCCAAGCTTCTCACAAGAATGCCCCAGCCGCGTTTAAGCCACGGGGCAGAAGTTGTTAATGGGAGACTCTTTATCTTGGGAGGATCGACGACAGGCTTTAGCAAAGATGCCATTGACAATGTTGTCGTCTATGATTTCGCCACGAACGAATGCAACAAATGTCCATCGTTACCAAAGTCTATCTGTAAAATGTCCACAGTTACTTGGGGAAATGTAGTCATCGTTGTCGGCGGGGCGGATAAGAACAGCCAGGATTTAGAAGACGTCTTCATGTATCACACTGGAACAGGGCGAAGTGAAAGATTACCTTCACTGATACAAAAGAGGTGTGATAGCTCGGCGGTCATAATGCATGATGTCATTGTTGTATTGGGCGGTCGGAGTGACGAGCAGGGATATCTCAACTCGGTAGAAAGTTTCACAATGGGAGATGAACAGTGGAAAGAACTGCCCGGGATGTAAGAGAAAAGAAATTTTGCAACTGCCGTGGTGAAACCTAGCAACTGAAACGATTTCTGCATATACCACTTTGTGCCGTTGGACCCAGGGACGCCGGAACGATGTGAAGGCAAGGGGGGCAGATTTTCGTAAAAGGGCACTTTTGAATTGATATATACTAAGAGATGTTTGCAAAACATCGGGAGTTGAACTTCGTCTAATCATGTTTTCTATTTATTGGATAATAGGGGTGTGAGGGGGTTCTCCGCCAGGCGATTGCGCTATTCTTGAAGCTCGATGACTGAATTTCTTGCGTTTTCTGAAGCAAATTCGTAAAATAATTGCACTATAACATTTCTGACAATTCGGTAATTCGCCAAGGCAATCCTTTAAATTGAAAGGGCACCTTTGCCCCCCTTGCCCCTCCTGGTAAAGGGCAACGGGGGCGGCTGCCCCTCCTGCCCCCCCCAGTTCCGGAGTCCCGGTTGGACCCATATAGAAATAATCAATAATAGATATAATATAATGTGTATACTTGATCACGAATTATGTCTCGATCAGTGAACTCTATCTTATTTTAGACACTCTGTGAAATGTAAATATTACTTGTATATATTGTATTTTTTATTAACTTTACAATCAAATGACTGATGGTAGGGACAACAGGACGTGAATCCCTAATTAAAATATACATATATAAATTAATTATATAGTTTGTTGAAACACTTTTTATTCTGGACATTTTAACATCAGTAATTATCGATAACCAAGACAATAAATAATTTGAAATGTAATGTATATATGTAGATGTGTATTTTAATAAACAGTGTTATTTTAAAAGCAAAGTTAAATAAATCAAATTTAAACCTGGTATAGTAAATCCCCAACTGAGGGCTTTGATTGCACTTCTTTGCGATAGTAAGTAGTATGTAAATGTCTATATTAATAAAGTAATAGATTCTTGTGTAGTTTTGCATGGCATTGATGGCAGCCAATGTAATTTTGTTGTGTTCATTGAATCTTCATCAGATAAAATCTTCAACTATTAGTGCTCGCTTTTTTCTCAAACGCTTACATGTTAAGGTCGATCCAGACACGCCAGACGCGAATTTTTAGTTTTTGAAAGTTAATAAAAAGTTATAAAACAGCCAATGAGAACAAATTTTGAAAGATATGTAGACCAAATAGCTTAAAATGTTATAGCGCTTCTAAATATTTGGAAAATTTAAACTAGAATCAAAGTTATCGGTCAGTGAAAATCGAAAAATCGCGCGTCGCGTTGTCGAATCGCGTCCGGTGTGTCTGGACCGAGGGGCGTTTCACTCCAAAAAAGCGTACGGGATTTTCGGATTTTTAAAAATGCGCGGATTTTTGAAGAGAAAATCTTTTGGATTTTCCGGATTTGTTTGGATTTTCCGGATTTGTTCGGATTTTTTTGGCGAAGCGTACGAGATTTTCGGATTTTTAAAAATCCGCGGAATTTTTAGCGGATTTTCCCCGGATTTTTGAAGAGAAAATCTGTTGGATTTTCCGGATTTGTTCGGATTTTTTGACGAAGTGTACGGGATTTTTGGAGTGAAATGCCCCTCGGTCTGGACCCTAAGCCATGCCAAGGGCAAAGAGCCCCAATTGTTCCAAAGCTAGACATGACAGCTTTTGGACAATAAACGGTGTGTTCGTGTGGTTCTATGGTTTTGGAAGAGAGTTTTAGATTGACGTTTACAGCAAACGTCAAACCGCTAACGAAGTTTGTGATTTTACAACTCTATTGTAACAGCTTTTACACCAGTGATGTCACCAGTTTTAAAATATATTAAGCAATTATTAAACTTGTGGTATTTAACAATGATTTAAGAAAGCAATCAACCACTAGTGATGTATTCACCAAAGCAGTAAATTAAGATCTGGCGTTTGAAGTTGACGTTTGGCGTGTAAATTTTTTGCTTTTATAAGGACTGCAAGCCCTCGTAACAGTTCAAGCATCAAATTTATACGCCAAACGGAAACTTCAAACGCTGATCATAATTTACTGCTTTGGTGAATACATGACTAGTGGTTAATTTGTTTTCTTGAATCATTCTTAAATACCACCCTCTGACCCATGATAGCTAAGACCTAGAATGCCTAGATTTAAATTAAATAACAGAATTTCTCCTCCGAACTAAACAACAAGTAAATATTACATACCCTGTTTCGTTCAGCCTAAGCCAAGGTTATATTGCATGTAAAATTTCCTGGGTCTGGGAGGATATCTTTCATCGTTCTTGAGAGTTTAATCTTGAATAAACTTCGTGTAACTAGCCAAAAATTCAGCGGGAATTAATTTTGATAATATTTGTGCACAGACGTCGTGTCTTTTAAGTCATTCAATAATCAATGCCTTTTGCTTGAATATATTTCAACCATTTTGTCGACTAGCGAATCGCTTTCGTCGTTTTGGGATGGTATATCTTCTATGAATGGTCTCTTTACTTCATTCATTCTCGATGGCCGAGAAAACAGTGTTTAGGGTCGCATTTTGCGAAGCAAACCGAACTCAGTTTCTTGCTAATTTTTTTTTGTGGCAAGAAAAGCATGCACAAAATTCGCTCATAATTATTAAATTATTTTCTCATGTTAAACATGACTGCCTTCTTTTGTTCTGAGATGAACTGAAGCTGAACGGTACTTTGGCAGTAACGGTTGATTGATTAAATTAAAGCAATTTTAAAGTCGTCGAACCGGTACCTTAATAATTTAAATGTATTGTTATATCGTATTTGTTTTCGTGTGCGGAAAACAAATCATTGCAAAGATTTCGACCAGTATCGTAGCCTGCGTGCAGTCAAGCTTTCGTTCGAAGTTGCGCAGTCCCTACTTCCTTTGGGAGTCTGGGACTGCACGCAGGCTACCAGTATCGTGGAAGATGAATACCGAATACTTCATGAATCATGAATTTTGAAAGACCTTGAAATAGTATGTACAGGGTGTCCAAAAAAAAGTGACATGCACTATACTCTATAGAAATTATCCTATTGTTATAAGTTCTTTGTATGTTTGCATGGTGATAAAATATAATAGGTTTTGTTTGTGGAAACACCTCGTAAATTTACGTGGTGTTTCCACAAACAAAACCTATTATATCCTATTGTTGTTAAGCACAGAATTTCATGCACCTGGTAATTAAAAATTCAATCAATTAGCCTTTCTCACGAAGGCCAAATCGCCATTTTTGCGGTACTTTTTGAAAACGACGTGAAAAATCTAAGCATGTGAAAACATTTTTTCAAATATTTAACTGTAAATTATAATTTATAATGATTATACTCACAATTATAATTATACAAATCCCTTATTCACTGCGTACAATCTCAGATTTGGAAAAGACAGTATACTCCAAAAATGGATTGCAGGTGTAAGCTTCAGGAGATTTTGAGGCATCGATGCAAATTTCGATTTTATACGTGAATTTAGATCCAACCAGAAAAAATGCAACTAGAAACTCTCTGACAGGAATCGAACCTGCGATTAGCACTCTATTCTCTAACCAACTGAGCTACAGAGGCCAGTTGTCGAGTTTTAACCGCAAGTTCCTGTATATATACAGGGTGTTCAAAAAACGTGAACCTTTAGAAATCACCATTTTGTTGTAAACATGCACCCAAACTTCATTACCCCTGGGCGTTTAGAATGCATTTGTGATCGTATACGAGCATATTGCACAAATTGCACATGAAAATTCTAATTGAAAGTTAAAACGACTTAGAAATGAATCCCGGCCGTCAGTTCGACTAAAAGTGGTTCAACGGACTACAGAGCAAAGAGTTTTTACTGTTTTACGTGCCGAGTTAAAATAATCAGCACATAATCATATTCATATATGTCGAATGTTGAACGATATACCAAAAACTTTTAAATAACTTCCAACACATAAAATTCGAGTGAATTGTGTTTACGCACCTATGAGTTTGGCATAGGACTCACTCAGGCACTCGAATTATAACAATAAGGTGAATTTCTAAAGGTTTAGTTTAGTTTAGACACCCTGTATATCAATTAAGGTCATGCCATCAGTATTGGGTAACTTTAAGTTGAAGGCTCTAAATTAACGCATTAAATTTACGCTCCATATTTCTATCTACAAAACTGCCTTCAGCTATATGTGTAAGCTTCAGTTTTTATTCGTTGAAAATGGCCTGCCTGATTATATAGTTTGTTAGCGTGAGGCCACAATGAATTACATCGACGGGGTTCTCAAAAATTTGATGGCAACCGTGTAAAAAAACAAGCTTTCGTTGGTAGGGATGCAGCTACCTGAAAAATATAAGGAGAATTTCGACGTTTCGAGCGATCACCCTTCGTAACTCCAGACATAGACTTGCTCCAAGCCACACTCTCTCTCTTCCATTGTCATATAGTATCGATCCACTATAGTGTACATTACATGACGTGGCACGGAGGGGCGGAGCGAGAAAGAGAGACTTGTCAACTTCGGAAAATCTCGGTTCAAAACTGAACCGAAAATGCAAGACTTGCTTTAATTGTTGTCAGTGTTTATATATGTATTGATCTAGCACAGTGTAAATAATGCGAGTTTTTATACAGAAAGAAATTGAAGGGAAACAATTAAAGCAAGTCTTGCATTTTCGGTTCAGTTTTGAACCGAGATTTTCCGAAGTTGACAAGTCTCCACTGCGATTCGTGCTGAAATCGCACTCCTGTGAACCAATCTCTTTCTTGCTCCGCCCTCCCTACTACGTCATGTAATATACACTACAGTGGATTGATACTATATGACAATAAAAGAAAGACTTGGAGCAAGTCTACTCCAGACAAAGAGCCATCATATTATTGGCACTACCCTAGTTAATTACTATTCTGTGACTTTTATAGTTTATACCTACACTGCCACTAGCACAGACAGTTCAAATCCTTTCCTAGTACTTCTTTGCGGTTTTACTCAATATGAAACTGAAAGACTCCTGCAGTATGTAGATCTTGCGTAGCAATGTCGCAAATGCAATCCACAAAGAATACATATACAAAGACATCTCTCCCCATTGATTTTGCAACACAAGCGCTTGCTATTCATTAAAATTACATGCATTTGTTAAACATACATTTGTTAACATACACACACTCTGAACTTTGTCGGCAACTAGCTCGGTAAACCCTCATGTAAAGATTTTGTTACCTCCAAAAATCTGGGAGACACGTGACCAGCCTGGACCCATTCTCGTACCCAGAGCCCTTCTTACGCGCGGTCAACGGAGAGCGACGAGGGGCTCTAGCCAAATCCATATCAAACTGGCATATGATTGGCTACAACGAAGGTTATTGTTCTAATACCGGATATATTCTTTTACCATGTTTTTATGGTATCCGGCTTTGGCCAGAGCCCCTCGTCGCACCGTACCTAAGAAGGACTCTGGGTAGGAGAATGGCCTGGACCAGGGTCTTTCCTCCAGCGAGGCGCGTAGTGGAAAGAGCCTGGCTACGAGGTTGTGTAGTTTTTAGTGACACTTCTCACGATACAAACATACAAACCTACCTGGCATACCTGGAAATTAGCATTATGCTAAGTGTATTGACTGCATTAAATAAATTGTATTAACCACGTTAAATAAATTGTGTTGTGCAGTGTATCATTTTTCTAAACCAATCGTAGCTCATGTAACCCTAGCCTGCGCGCAGACTACATTATATTATAGTCTGCGCGCAGGCTAATGACTGTAACCCCCAAGTCTTCAAAGTGAGGCCAAATGAATTTAAATTGTGCAAAACGAAAATGACATTACGACAATGTCGGGTTAAATGAATGTCATTATTGCACTAACTCTTCACTCAAAACATTTTTTGGGACATATTTGTTGGATTTCTATTAATTGTAACAGATTTATTTTGTGTGATATATAATAAAACAAATAATGAATGTTTTCGTTGTGAAATGTTTTCGTTGTTTTACGCTAATCAAACTATTCCACACATTCATGTAGACGCCAAAAGGCCAACTATCTGTATTTAAAAATAATCTTTGATGTCGAATTTTACATCGCTACAACGTAATTTATATTTAATTTAGTTTGTTTTCTGCGCCATTGAACGCATTTCCTATAAAAGGTACATCGTATGAATATGTAATCTTAAAACTAGCATAATTTCTACGTTTCCTTTATTAAACATTTTTTGTTACTGTATTTGTTTTGGTCAGTGGAAAACACCACGTCTAAGAAATATATTTATTATTATTGCAAAGATTTCAACCGTAATCAGTATTGTGGAAAATAAATATTGGGGAGTTTAAGCTTCACGTTTCCGGGAACGGCAGGTTCGAAGTTTCTTGGCAAAATTTTCGTGGAACGTTTTCGTTTCATATTTTCTTTCTTGTGCTAAAATAATAATCATGCATTGAAGTTTTAAACAGCAAGTAAGCAAGTTCATTTAGCGTAAAATTTTTCTTTGCCTGGCGTTTGCCGTTTGCCGTATAACGCGAAGCTTAAACTCGCTAATACTCTATTGAGTATTCCGCCAGCAGCCGCCAAAAATCTCACTGCTTGTCAACAAGATGTGTTCGCACTGCTTGTTCCCAGTTGTTGACAAGTCTGGAACAAGTTGTTATCATCTTGTAACAAGGTTGATGAGGCCAGCAGACTCGCAACAAGTTGTTCCAACAAGTCTGATATCGTCTACACGTAACAAGTAGTTAACAAGTTGATGACAACAAGCTCGTGGCAACTTGTTACGAATAGTATTAAACCTGTCAGTTTAGTTTTGTTAGAACAACTTGTCTGTTACCGTCATCAACAACTGGGAAGAACAAGCAGTATATTATACGATGTAGCCTTTTACCATGAACTCGAGTCGCACACGAAGAACGTGACTCCAAGTCGGCTATCAGCCATATACGACGTCGACGAAAGCAAATGGATGGTATAATTATTTCATAATATAACTAATAGCCACATTAGGGAGCGGTCACTATTTATGGTGGGGGTGGCACCGAAGAGAAAAGGGTTGGGTAAACAAAATTTTGAGTGAGTAAAAGGTTGGGTAAATGAAAAACAAAACAACTCAAGGGTTGGGTGAACTCAAGTTGGTCAATAAAAAAATCATTCTCATTTCCAAAACATGACTCACTCAAATATTGAAGATTAAAAAGTAATGACGTCAACGTCATATATGCATGTCAATACATGCAATATGTGAACCAATCAGAGTCACTATCTTCGTCATTTTCCGATTTGTGTGCAGGCAAATGGTGTCGCCAAAGAAAGTACATGTCGACACAACATGAAATTTTACACTGCAAAAAATTGCAAAAGCAGTAATCAAACTCATGTCACAGAAGTGGTAAAGGACGTCAAATAAATTGTATCGTCAGTTTGTAAAGTTTTTAGCCAGTGGTGGGTATTTATTTTTAATTGATGTTTGAGCTTGCGCAAAGAAAGACTTTTTAATGATTGGTTGGATCAGCAAAATTGTTATCCATGTTGCGATATTTTGACAGTTGTTCACCCACAATCCGTGTCGCAACTTTGCCTGAGATTTTGAAAATAATGTTTCGTTATTTTATTATTGTTTTTATTAGCATGACAAAATTACTGGATGCTGATTGGTTGAGAGGAGTACAATTATTTCATTAATTGTACTGCAGTACAATTAATGATTTTCCCAAAACAAACAAAATGGCGGAAAGGTATTTTAAACACAAATGCGAAATGAAATTGCCGTGGAGGAACTAGATGAAAATACGAAAAAAACCCCACCAAATTTTGCTTGAACAAAAGAACTAAATGAAAATACAAACAAAAGCACCAAATTTTGGTTGAAAGTCTGGCAGGACTGGGCTTTGGCGAGAGAGTATGATGTTGACATTGACATTGAGAAGTACGTGTCCAATTTCGTCATGACAATAATAAACAAATAATCATGCGATGTTGCTCGTACAATTATGGATTAATAGTACTCGTGATGTTTGGAAATTTGCCAAATTGGACTCGCCCCGGCGGCTCGTCTAATTTTTGCAAAATTTCCAAACATCACTCGTACTATTAATCCATAATTGTACTCGCCATCGCATGATTACCTATACTAAAACTTAAAGTGAAATAAATGGTTTCAAACCAGTATTGTTGACAAAAAAGTTGAGCTATTCAACATAGATGTTTTGTGAAGTAAATTTAGTGTTTGTTGACTACAAATCCATTTGCAACCGGGAATGAGAATTTACATCCGGGCAACGAGATTTTAGCCAATCAGAGAACGTTATTTGCCCCCATTAGGAAAAAGCTTCAAGGGAATGAGAATTTACATCCGGGCAACGAGATTTTAGCCAATCAGAGAGCGTTATTTGCTCCCATTAGGAAAAAGCTTCAATATGTCCCTCGATTATTTGCGCAATGCCCATTCTATTCCGTTTATAATCTATATTGTGCTAGATACGTTTTGAAAGCTCTCGCGTGAAAATCTTTCACGCTCGCGCGTGGCACTCGGACGTGCATATACGTACGAGTCTACTTTGATTATTATTATGACAAGGTTGGCAAGATTTTTAACGGAAATTTATTACAACGTTTACTAAAGTATGAATATTTCGCAAATTACAAGCAAACACAATAAAACATCTACGGTACATCATTTCAAACACTAGTAATTTTACTACATTCTCCCAAAGTTTTAATATCAAAGGTTCATTCTAAGGATGTTAAAAAAGCGAATTCTTTTTCGGGTTTTTGACAAACTTTTGTCAAAACTATGCTGGGGTCACCTACCCTGTGGTGATGTTATATTTTTTAAATCTTGAAGAAGCGCTGATGTCTGGCTGTTGTGCATGACGTTTCGATTCCAGTACCATCAAATTGCTGATCAAACGTCATCAATCACGATTTTTAGCTAAAATATGGTCAATTTGCAGAGGTTTTTTGACTTTTTCCCCTCGTTGAGGTCAAACTGGAGCGCAGAATTCAATGCCCAAATCCCAGGAAATGGCATTTTCTGGTTCAAATTATCAATATTATACATTTGTAATAAGCTCAGAGACATCGCCTTCTAGCGTTTGGGTTAAATTCATAGGAAAGCCGTGTTTAAAGGCGTCTTCATGCACTACATGCAACCATTGCAACCTGTCTGCCACATCTCGTTTCAAAGGATTATTTCTTTTTGCTTGAAAAATTTGAAATTTCTTTTTGTTATTTTCAGACAAAAAATGGGCGAATCGGACTACATATAATTTATTGTAGGAGTGCAATGAGTGCAGAAGAAAACCAAAGTCTTTATCCACTCCAGGAATATCAGTCATCATACTTGCTACCGGCGAAGGCAAATGTTTATTTTTGAAGTCATATTTAAATTTGTTTTTACCTCTTCTTTTAAACGTCCATGCAATGGTAAAAATAAAAATGGCAAAAGCGAATGCTAACGTTGGAAGATATACCACTTTCAATCCCCAATCATAGGTAGGCGCCAGGTTATGTGAACAAATGAAATAATCATGAGCCACAGGGATGTGTTGATTAAGTGTACAGGTCATTGTTCCTTTTAAGTCCTTCATGAAGTAAATATCAAAAACGAAGGATGCGATCGCGAATGAAGCTTGAAGTACAGTTTGAAGCAAATATAACCGCCATATTTTCTGAGACGATTCAACATTTTCCTTGAATGTATGTACCTTTTCATACAAAGTTTTAACCGCACTGATAGTTGCAGGATCCTGTAAGATATTGAAATTGTACGGTTGGTTACCATCATTGTTAGAGGCGAGCATTTCTGCAGCGTCGGTATCGCGCGGTTGATCATCTGCATGACGTCTTGAAGAATTCTGCGAGATGTTATCGAATTCGTGAGGTTGGTTATTGTCAGGGACGAGCCTTGCCGTTTCGCTATTCGTGCTATCTGGCTGCTGATCAACTCGAGTTTGCGTTGACACGAAATTTGGGAATGGTGAAGCATAACATTCTATCACAAGGGATACAAAATTTTCAATAACTGACGCAGTATGAGGGAGTTTAAGCCACAGAAATCAGCAGACGTTATCCCAGCGCCAAAAATATCTAATCCCAAATCAGTTGATAGCGACCTAAGACCTATTTCTCTCACACCGGTGCTGAGTAAATTATTGGAAAGCTTTGTTTTTCGATGGCTTTTTGGTTATATTAAACCATCAATCGACCCGCTCCAGTTCGGAAATATGAAAAATTGCTCCACCACACACGCTCTTATCCACATGATCCATAACTGGCTAGCCGAATTAGAAAACCCTGGTTCAACTATCAGATGTTGTATGATTGACTTTTCGAAAGCCTTTGATCGCATCGATCACAATATTTTACTTCATAAATTACAACAACTCAACATCCCTCCTATCTTGTTGAATTGGTGCGCTGAGTTCCTGCATGACCGATATTTACGTGTCAAGCTTGGCCAGAATAAATCAACATGGCGACAAATAAATGCAGGGGTTCCACAAGGTACAAAACTTGGACCCCTCTTCTTCCTTGTGATGATAAATGACTTGCAAACCAACACTCCAATGTACAAATATGTCGATGACTGCTCCACATACGAAATCGTTTCAAGATCGTCCCTTACTTCATCGCTTCAAGCTAATATAAACACTATAAATGACTGGACCAATCACAACAACATGCGGCTTAATGTATCTAAAACCAAAGAACTGCGTATATCCTTTCTTAGAGTCCCTATGGTATTCGATGCCCTCTCTTCATCTGGTTTAAACATAGAAATCGTCCAGACCTTCAAACTTCTGGGAGTGATAATATCATCGGATCTTACCTGGAATGCGCACATTGATTACATCTGCACCAAAGCAAGTAAACGTCTTTATGCTCTAAGGATCCTCAAACGATCTGGTGCCCCAGCCAATGATTTAATAACGGTCTTTTGTGCATTTATTCGTCCAGTTTTGGAATACGCCTCACCTGTATGGCATTTTTTTCTCCCTCAATTCCTCGCTGATCAAATCGAGAGTATACAAAAACGTGCATTGAAAATCGCTTTCCCCCAGTCCTCCTATACTACCTCACTAAGAAACACTGGCTTTCTTACACTTTACCAGCGAAGAGAGAATCAGTGCTTGTCATTCTATAAGAATATCCATCAACACTCAGACGATAAGTTGAGAACGCTACTTCCCAGTGCTATATCTCACAAATTCAGTCTAAGAAATAAACGCACTTATCCTATGTATAAGTGCAAAACTGAACGATATAAGAACAGTTTTATCCCAAAGTGTGTTAGAAACTGGGACCAACCATAGACATAACAAAATATTTTATAGTACATATCATTAATATAGTTTATATTATAGTAGTTTTAAATTGAACTTTTTGCAAATTTAAAAATTTTAATACTATCTATGTAATATCACGTTTTTTAAATTTTTATTAATTTACAATGTGGTAATTATTAAAATCAATTAAAGATTATTAAGTATGACGAGGATAAATGCTTGAATAAATATTGCAAACCAAAAGTAGAGAAGAAAGTCAGGAATAGCGCTTTTACTGCATTCCAAATTGACAAAATTGGTATAATAAAGACTGCTTTTAAGGTCGGTCACGACGTCCGTTCTTTTTATAATGTTGGTTTTCTGAGAACTGTAAAATGCTTTACAAACATTACCATATTTAATATGTGACAACAAGGAGCTGCTCATATTTGATCTTGTAATACCTGGGCAATCCACGGCAGCCAAACACTGGAAATTGCCAGATGTAATTTGCATACCCCCGAATACTATGGACATCACTGCCAAAAATACCACAAGATAATCTGTAATTACATTCCATAATGGTTTGAGTATCTTGATTTTCTTATTTTCATCTTCAAACTTGAAAATTTCGCTGAGAACAGACATTGTTGGCATCTACTGGATGGTATGTTTCTGTACGCAATATTTCCAGCAAACACACTACATGACGGAGAATTGATATTGTATTATTACAATATTGTGTTGGTGACGTGGTAAACAGGGTAAACCTATTGGTTCACTGCATTTCAATGAAAGATTTTTAAAAATATTGTGAACCCATGATAATTTATCTTTCTAATCAACATTAATACTATCACAAAAAAATATTATACTGAAGCAAGCAAACCTAGCAAATTGTCCGATTTTTAAGTAAAATCTGCCCGAGCATAATCTGAATAGGGGGGGGGGCATGAACCCCAGCCCCCATGCAATAGTTCGTTTTCAATTCGTTAAATATCTTTCCAATCTTTCAGGTGTATTAATTTACTCTTGCATGTACAGTTTTTATTGTTATTCTGCGGAACTACTCGATCACAACATTCACAAAACAATAACAAAAGCCTGACACTAATTATTTACCTGTTATTTACTCAATGTTATATTTATATAATTTAGTTTTGAAAAGATGAATGAATGATATTTGTGAGGTTACTCTGAGTGTATATCCACACCGGGCGAGCTTGAAAAATATGCTCAGTCGTAGGTTCGTATCCCACCGTGGCCGGGCATATTTTCCAAGCTCGCCCGGTGTGGATATACACTCCGAGTAACCTCACAAATATCATATTCACCTGAGTACACAACACCAACACAGAAAAAAAATGAATGAATGAATTTCATTCAAAATATTTATATAATTCTTTTGTACTAAAATGAAGTAAGTGGGGGTGTGCTAATCATCCTTAAGGCTGATTTCCACTGTTGCGTTTTTCGTACGCACGTACACGCACGTAAAACTTTGAATCCTTTTATTTTTTAAATATTTTACAAATAAGTTAACAAATGCATACTAAAACTTGCGGAACACTAAATTCTGTTGCTTTATTTATTTGGTTATTTCATAAGTAACATTTAAACGGATTTAAAGTTTTACGTGCGTATACGTACGTATGAAAAACGCAACAGTGGAAATCAGCCTTAACTCGCAGCTGAGAGCTAAGTTGAATTACGGAAGACGCAGCTCAACCTGATCGAGTCGAAGGCTTACTAAGGACGCCTCTGGCAGCCACCTTATGACTCATGTCTGATCACAGAGCACAGCTACGATGGAAGGGTCAGTTAGAGGGCTCATCCCAACCCACCCTGTCAACATTCTCTGTGGGAGGAAACCGGAGCACCCGGAGGAAACCCGGTAGAGCGTTGACTGACTCTTTTTACCCGAATGTCTTCAATCAAGGTCAGTTGTACGTAAGCCAGATTGCCGTGTCCACCGGCACAGAATAAAGACCATATTATACAGAAAGCCAACTCAGCCAAGAAAGCGTAACCGTTGCCACGCCTTGATTTGTCATCAAATGCACTCGTCATGTTCCTAGCCAGTGCCTTTATGAAAAGCATTCACATGCCAATGAGGCATGAACGTCTGCCATTTGGAATATTTACAGGGGTTAATGTGTCTCACAAGCGCACTGGCTAGGACCATGGCGAATCATAGGCAAAGCCAAGAAGTAGTAATTTTTTCAACCGTTGCAAAAATGCTTAAAAAGCTATCAAATTACGGATATGGACATCACAATTGATAAAAAAAGAAACTTAAATTTATAAGTACTAGGTTTTGGTCTGGGTTACAAAAATCAACGTTCGGATTGTTTTTGGATGCTTAAAGATATAGTTATCTTGTGGACAGTGCTCACTGATATATACCTCAGTGACACAGGGCCTCTTTTAATACCATAGACTGGGAGGACTTGTCCCCCCAGCCCCTGTTTTGGCCCCTCCAGTGAACTATGTTGTCCCCCTTAATGACGCGGCCTAAATTTCAGCTCGAGAATGAGCGCTAAGCAATTTGATTACTGTAATAAATATTTGACGCTTTTTCAAATAGCCTTACAAACTGCTACGTTCGACTAAAGCGATACAATGTTTGCTGCAATTTTGACTTTAAGTAACACCTCTTGGATTGCAATATGCTTTCACGTTGCTTGAAAGACGTGATAATGCTTAGATACTGAGCATGACAACGCCGTTTTTTGTCTCGCATGACAAATTTATTTGTTTTGAAAGCGCGTCGTCGAGCCGGCCGCGTCGTAGATCGTGAACTCCTTATTCTTAAAAAAGTCCCTGCAGTGACAGTGCTATCTGGTCTTCATACAACTGGTCCCAGATTGACTAGTACATAAGACCAAGTAAAGATTTCAGAAACCATTCTTCTTGGAAACTACTAAATGTCTTTAGATAAGTTCCACAGAACTTTTAAAAAATTCGTAATATTACATATATAATTTGAAAACAAAATACATGTTGACATGTCCCTTGACTTTGGATACTTGTGGTTTCTTTTGTGTTCAAATTTGCACACACCTTTTCGTACATTTTATTTGTATAGTCAACGTGAGTCCTCTATCCGAGTAAGGTGTATAAAATATAGAAATAATTTGAGCAATAAAGTAAAAAATGTAGAACATAAAAAAATAACTCACCTGATAACACAGATCTGATAAAGATTGTCCTTCAAGTCTTTGCCATAGTCAAGAAATGCAATATTGTTTTGAGAATTCTATTCTTGTTCTGCTAATCAACAAAACCAGTTTTTTTTTAAATACCTGCAACGAATAATGAATGAAAAATGTTAGGTGATGTTAAATAGTTATTTTATTGATTGTTGTTAACATTATTGACAGTGGCGTAGCTAGCCCGACAATTTATTATCATTGTCATTGATTATCATTATAGATTATCATTATTACTATTATTATTGGAGATTAGATTAAAGATAACCACTTTACTGTCCTGTACACTCTTACACCCGTATTCTAAAAGCTCACTCACACTCAATGAGTGGAAGTTCAATCTGAGCTTCTCTCGAGTGTCAATGCTGTTTTTGAATAGCTGAAGAGTTAGTATCGTACCTTACTATGTGACTACTCACCCTCCAGCTATTCAAAAACAACATTGACACCCAAGAGAAGCTCAGATTGAATCTCCACTCATTGAGCGTGAGTGAGCTTTTAGAATACGGGCGTAAATCTCTGGGTGTTGCTCTAACACTAAAATGATATAATCATTGCAGCTCTAAAATGGTATAGTGTGTAAACGTTAGTTAACACCATTTTTGTACTAGGGAACACCAAATACCATGATCAATTGTGGTATTTATTGTATATGTAATTTGATACATGTATTGGGTGCACATTCATGAGTGTATTTGGCGTTTCCCTAACACAAAAATGGTATAACATATACACTAAATCAGTGTCTGCAGAGCTGCAATGATGTTGGACCGCAACCAGGCTTTGTGATTGGTTGATGATAACAATAAAAGACAATGAACTATAGGGTAGTATAGAAATTAGAACGAATCATAAACACTGATCACTGTCGTTTCATGAAGCCAATCACAAAACACGATCAGTTTTACAGAGTGGACTTTCGTCGACGCAGCATAAAAATAGTGCGGGCTCGTGAGCTTTTTCCCGCAAATTTTGCTTTTCGATGTTTGGCTTACAATTTCTAAGGATGTTGAAGTTTACAGCATTGTGATTCACTGTTTTTTTGAAAGCATCTGGGGTTTTTTTGTTGGAAGTTCTAGGCTAACTCTTCAACAACCTAATAACTGTTTTTAAAGCAAAGCAATTGAAAGGAAAACTTATATTTTCATACGAAGAAGATGAGTGGCAATATTTATGTTGGACTGTTTTGAGCAGATGCTTCGAAGAACATGATATGATCGGACCTTGTATCTTAAAAGTGTACTTCGAACAGCCGAAGTGGTAAATTTTGTTACCCGGTGTGTTGGGCATCATAATTCACAGGAATAGTACACAGCGGCGTTTAAACTGGCTATGAAATATCCTGAATACTTCGTCGAGTTCTCTACCGCCATGTGACCTGTAGTTTAATGTGGCACGC